TCTTGGTGAGAGCAAAAATATAAAAATTACATTTTTGAAAAAAAACATACTTAGAAATATGATAGAGACAAGCTGATATCTTCAACATGTTGCCATAATTTTGCACTATTTTTTGGTAAGAAAACCTTAATTTCCATAATTTTCCAACTTCAATTTTAAAATCTCTAAAACTTAGCGCCTCGGGGCCCTTAAGTGACGTGTCTGACATCATGCGGTCAAGGCATTGGCTTAATCCAGTACAAGAATTGGAGCTGCCTCACATGGGTCTGTAGGCCTGCTGCAGTGTTCTTTCTTTCTTATGTTCTTACATTCTTATTACTGTGATCTCTGACGTAACAGAAAAGAGCATTCCTGGTGTCGGCAAGCCTTACATCTCAACTACTACTACCTCTCTTGTTCTGTCCCTGTCTGCTGGCCTATATATACTCCCTCCTTCTCTCCTTTTTATTAGTGTGACTTTGTAAATGGTCAAAGTCGGACTGAAACGTCTTCGTAAGCACCTCTCTTCTGTGTGTGTATCTATAATATGAAAGGAAGCAATGGTTGGAGAAATAGCAAATAATGAACTAAAGCTAATGGGATCTTATAGGAGTCAAGAAACATGGGAAGAACTAAAAGCCATAAATGAAACTGAAAGAAACCCAAAATATTTCCCTTTTTATGGCAAATCAAAGTCGAGAACATCATGCAGTACTGGGCCCCTAGTTAGACGTGATGAGTCCTACACAGATAACAGCAAAGAAATGATTGAGCTACTCAAATTCCAATTTGACTCGGCTTTCAGTGAGCCGCTAACCAGGCTGAGAGTCAAAGACCTAAATGAATTTTTCATTAGCGAGACACAGTTTCGTAGACTCAAACCTATATGATATTATCCTGACTCCAAATTACTTCGACAAGGTGATAAATGACATGCCCATGCACTCTGCCTCAGACCCAGACTCACAGAACTCCATGTTCATCAAGAACTACAAGAAGCCCCTATCATGTGTTTTTACATTCTGTGGAGTAAGAGCAACGACACAGAGCTGCTGAATGGGGTCAATATATCTGAAATATGAAGTGAGGCACCAGTCAATGAAATTGCAAATATCAAACTTAAAGCTGAAGGAATCTTATAGGAGACAAGAATCACAGGAAGAACTAAAAGCCATGAAGGAAATTGAAAACCAATACTTTTTCTCTTATGCCAAATCTAAAGGAAAAGCAACATCCAGTATAGGGCCTCTGCTTAGGCGGGCGGGGCCATACACAGATGACAGCCAAGATATTAGTGAGATACTAAAGTCTCAATATGACTCAGTGTTCAGCGATCCACTGCCCACTCTAATGGGCGACAATCCAAATGAATTCTATATGAACGAAACCCAAAATTTGGTCATCCCAAAACTCTCTGATATTATTCTAACTCCACAAGATTTTGAAGAGGCAATTAATGACATGCCCATGCACTCTGCCCCAGGCGCAGAAGTCCCTATTGCGTGCCTTCAGCATTTTATGGAGAGGGAGCATGGACACAGGGGTCATCCCACAAACACTAAAAACAACAAACATAGCCCCACTCCACAAAGGTGGCAGTAAAGCAATTGCAAAGAACTACAGACTGATAGCACTAACATCCCATATCATAAAAATCTTTGAGAGGGTTATAAAAAGCAAGATAGCCAACAACCTAGATACCCATGAATTGCGCAACCCAGGGCAACACGTGTTTAGAGCATGTTGCTCCTGCCTGTCCCAGCTACTGGACCACTATGACAAGGTCCTGGATGCTGTAGAGGATAAACAAAATACGGATGTAGTACACACAGACTTTGCAAAAGCTTTCGACAAGTGTGACCATGGTGTAAACGCACACAAAATGTGGAATAAAGGAATAATGGGAAAAGTTGGTAGATGGATCTATAACTTCCTGACAAATAGAAGATAAAGAGTAATTGTAAACAGAGTAAAGTCCCAGGCAACCATGATAAAAATCTCTGTTCTGCAAGGCACAGTACTCGCTCCCATTCTATTCCTCTTCCTCATTTCTAACATAGATTAGATTGGATTAAAGTAAAGGTTGGATGCGAGAAGTGGGTCATAATAAGCGTGTATGCACCTGGAGAAGAGAGGAATGCAGAGGAGAGAGAGAGGTTTTGGGAGATGTTAAGTGAATGTATAGGAGCCTTTGAACCAAGTGAGAGAGTAATTGTGGTAGAGACCTGAATGCTAAAGTAGGACAAACTTTTAGAGAGGGTGTGGTAGGTAAGTTTGGGGTGCCAGGTGTAAATGATAATGGGAGCCCGTTGATTGAACTTTGTATAGAAAGGGGTTTAGTTATAGGTAATACATATTTTAAGAAAAAGTGGATAAATAAGTATACAAGATATGATGTAGGGCGAAATGACAGTAGTTTGTTGGATTATGTATTGGTAGATAAAAGACTGTTGAGTAGACTTCAGGATGTACATGTTTATAGAGGGGCCACAGATATATCAGATCACTTTCTAGTTGTAGCTACACTGAGAATAAAAGGTAGATGGGATAAAAGGAGAATAGAAGCATCAGGGAAGAGAGAGGTGAAGGTTTATAAACTAAAAGAGGAGGCAGTTAGGGTAAGATATAAACAGCTATTGGAGGATAGATGGGCTAATGAGAGCATAGGCAATGGGGTCGAAGAGGTATGGGGTAGGTTTAAAAATGTAGTGGGTTTGAGTGTTCAGCAGAAGTTTGTGGTTACAGGAAAGTGGGTGCGGGAGGGAAGAGGAGCGATTGGTGGAATGATGATGTAAAGAGAGTAGTAAGGGAGAAAAAGTTAGCATATGAGAAGTTTTTACAAAGTAGAAGTGATGCAAGGAGGGAAGAGTATATGGAGAAAAAGAGAGAGGTTAAGAGAGTGGTGAAGCAATGTAAAAGAGAGCAAATGAGAGAGTGGGTGAGATGTTATCAACAAATTTTGTTGAAAATAAGAAAAAGTTTTGGAGTGAGATTAACAAGTTAAGAAAGCCTAGAGAACAAATGGATTTGTCAGTTAAAAATAGGAGAGGAGAGTTATTAAATGGAGAGTTAGAGGTATTGGGAAGATGGAGGGAATATTTTGAGGAATTGTTAAATGTTGATGAAGATAGTGAAGCTGTGATTTCGTGTATAGGACAAGGAGGAATAACATCTCGTAGGAGTGAGGAAGAGCCAGTTGTGAGTGTGGGGGAAGTTCGTGAGGCAGTGGGTAAAATGAAAGGGGGTAAGGCAGCCGGGATTGATGGGATAAAGATAGAAATGTTTAAAAGCAGGTGGGGATATAGTTTTGGAGTGGTTGGTGCAATTATTTAATAAATGTATGGAAGAGGGTAAGGTACCTAGGGATTGGCAGAGAGCATGCATAGTTCCTTTGTATAAAGGCAAAGGGGATAAAAAAAGAGTGCAAAAATTATAGGGGGATAAGTCTGCTGAGTATACCTGGTAAAGTGTATGGTAGAGTTATTATTGAAAGAATTAAGAGTAAGACGGAGAATAGGATAGCAGATGAACAAGGAGGCTTTAGGAAAGGTAGAGGGTGTGTGCACCAGGTGTTTACAGTGAAACATGTAAGTGAACAGTATTTAGATAAGGTTAAAGAGGTCTTTGTGGCATTTATGGATTTGGAAAAGGCGTATGACAGGGTGGATAGGGGGGCAATGTGGCAGATGTTGCAAGTGTATGGTGTAGGAGGTAGGTTACTGAAAGCAGTGAAGAGTTTTTACGAGGATAGTGAGGCTCAAGTTAGAGTATGTAGGAAAGAGGGAAATTATTTCCCAGTAAAAGTAGGCCTTAGACAATGATGTGTGATGTCACCGTGGTTGTTTAATATATTTATAGATGGGGTTGTAAGAGAAGTAAATGCGAGGGTCTTGACAAGAGGCGTGGAGTTAAAAGATAAAGAATCACACACAAAGTGGGAGTTGTCACAGCTGCTCTTTGCTGATGACACTGTGCTCTTGGGAGATTCTGAAGAGAAGTTGCAGAGATTGGTGGATGAATTTGGTAGGGTGTGCAAAAGAAGAAAATTAAAGGTGAATACAGGAAAGAGTAAGGTTATGAGGATAACAAAAAGATTAGGTGATGAAAGATTGAATATCAGATTGGAGGGAGAGAGTATAGAGGAGGTGAATGTATTCAGATATTTGGGAGTGGACGTGTCAGCGGATGGGTCTATGAAAGATGAGGTGAATCATAGAATTGATGAGGGAAAAAGAGTGAGTTGTGCACTTAGGAGTCTGTGGAGACAAAGAACTTTGTCCTTGGAGGCAAAAGAGGGGAATGTATGAGAGTATAGTTTTACCAACGCTCTTATATGGGTGTGAAGCATGGGTGATGAATGTTGCAGCGAGGAGAAGGCTGGAGGCAGTGGAGATGTCATGTCTGAGGGCAATGTGTGGTGTGAATATAATGCAGAGAATTTCGTAGTTTGGAAGTTAGGAGGAGGTGCGGGATTACCAAAACTGTTGTCCAGAGGGCTGAGGAAGGGTTGTTGAGGTGGTTCGGACATGTAGAGAGAATGGAGCGAAACAGAATGACTTCAAGAGTGTATCAGTCTGTAGTGGAAGGAAGGAGGGGTAGGGGTCGGCCTAGGAAAGGTTGGAGAGAGGGGGTAAAGGAGGTTTTGTGTGCGAGGGGCTTGTACTTCCAGCAGGCATGCATGAGCGTGTTTGATAGGAGTGAATGGAGACAAATGGTTTTTAATACTTGACGTGCTGTTGGAGTGTGAGCAAAGTAACATTTATGAAGGGGTTCAGGGAAACCGGCAGGCCGACTTGAGTCCTGGAGATGGGAAGTACAGTGTCTGCACTCTGAGGGAGGGGTGTTAATGTTGCAGTTTAAAAACTGTAGTGTAAAGCACCCTTCTGGCAAGACAGTGATGGAGTGAATGATGGTGAAAGTTTTTCTTTTTCGGGCCACCCTGCCTTGGTGGGAATCGGCCAGTGTGATAATAATAATAATAAATAGAGATGTAAGCCATAGCTCCATGTCATCCTTTGCAGATGACACCCAGATCACCATGGCAGTGACCTCCATCGAAGACACTGCGAGATTCCAAGTGGACATCAACTAAATCTTCGAATAGGCCGCTCAAAACAATATGAAGTTCAATGAGAAAAAATTTCAACTACTCAGATATGGAAAACTTGAAGAAATAAAAATGTGTCAGGGTATACCACAAATTCTAGCCATACAATAGAGCAGAAAAGTAATGTGAAGGATCTGGGAGTGATACTTTCAGAGGGTCTCACCTTCAAAAACCACAACAATGTATCTACCTCATCCACTAGGAAAATGATAGGATGGATAATGAGAACCTTCAAACCTAGGGACACCAAGCCCATGATGATTCTCTTCAAATCGCTTGTGCTCCATAGGCTGGAATACTGCTGTACACTAATGGCCCCCTTCAAGGCTTCCGACATTGCAGACCTGGAGAGTGTACAAATAACTTTCATGGGACACATAAGTGCGACAATGCTCCTAAACTACTGGGAACGGTTGAAGGTCCTTGATCTGTATTCCCTGGAACGCAGGCGAGAGAGATACATGATAATATACACTTGGAAGGTCCTGGAGGGATTGGTCACTGGATGGGTATGGGGTGCATAATAAACATATTAAACTATTAAACTAACGTATTGCAGAATGGATATAAATTCTCTGGAAAATGTACAAAGGAGGATGACAAAGTTGATCCCATGTATCAGAAACCTTCCCTATGAGGATAGACTAAGGGCCCTGAATCTTCACTCTCTAGAAAGACGTAGAATTAGGGGGGATATGATTGAGGTGTATAAATGGAAGACAGGAATAAATAAAGGGGATGTAAATAGTGTGCTGAAAATATCTAGCCTAGACAGGACTCGCAGCAATGGTTTTAAGTTGGAAAAATTCAGATTCAGGAAGGATATAGGAAAGTACTGGTTTGGTAATAGAGTTGTGGATGAGTGGAACAAACTCCCGAGTACAGTTATAGAGGCCAGAACGTTGTGTAGCTTTAAAAATAGGTTGGATAAATACATGAGTGGATGTGGGTGGGTGTGAACTGGACCTGATAGCTTGTGCTACCAGGTCGGTTGCCGTGTTCCTCCCTTAAGTCAATGTGACCTGACCTGACTAGGTTGGGTGCATTGGCTTAAGCCGGTAGGAGACTTGGACCTGCCTCGCATGGGCCAGTAGGCCTTCTGCAGTGTTCCTTCGTTCTTATGTTCTTATGTTCTTATGTACCAAACCTGCACACGAAAATCACTCCATATGAAAGCAAAAGACTCGGCAGGAGATACAACATTCCCATGATGAAAAGCAGTGGTGCCACGAGTACATTGAGAGACAACACAGTAAGTGTCCGGGGGCCAAGACTGTTCAATTGCCTCCGAGCATACATAAGGGGGATTACCGATAGAAAGCATTGGACAGGCACCTAAAGTCAGTACCTGACCAACCAGGCTGTGGTTCGTACATCAGCCTGCGTGCAGCCAGCAGCAACAGCCTGGTTGATCAGACCCTGATCCACCATGAGGCCTGGTCTCAGACTGGGCTGTGGGGGCATTGACCCCTGAAACTCTCTCCAGGTAAACACAGAGATCATCCCACAGATGCTAAAAACAACAGACATTTCCCCATTCCACAAAGGTGGCAGTAAAGCAATAGCACAGAACTACAGACAGATAGCACTAGCATACCAAATAAAAATCTTTGGAAGGGTTCTAAGAAGCAAGATATCCCCCCCATCTAGATTCCTATCAGTTTCACAACAAAATGCAACATGGGGTTTAGAGCAGGTTGCTCCTGCCTGCCCTAACTACTGGACCACTATGACAAGGTCCTGAATGCTGTAAAGGACAAAAAAAATGCAGATGTAGTATACACAGAGTTTGGAAAAGCCTTTGACAAATGTGACCATGGTGTATAGTGCACTAAATGCATGATAAAGGAATAACAAGAAAAGTTGGTAGATGGATATATATTTTCCTAAAAAATAGAACACAAAGAGTCGTAGTCAACAGAGTAAAGTCTGAGGCAGCTACTGTGAAAAGCTGTTCCACAAGGCACAGTACTCACTCCCATCCTATTCCTCATCCTCATATCTGACATAGACAGGGATGTAGCCACAGCACCGTGTCTTCCTTTGCACATGACACCCAAATTTGCAGACACTGCAAGACTCCAGGTGGACATCAACCAAATCTTTAAATGGGCTGCAGAAAACAATATGAAGTTCAATGATGAGAAATTTCAATTACTCTGATATGGAAAATGTGAGGAAATTAAAACTATATCGGAGTATAAATAAATTCCAACTACACATTGGAGGAAAAAAAACTAATGTGAAAGACCTGGGAGTGACCATAACATTGTACCAAAGATCACACAATAATGTATCAAAGGTCAAAACCTTATATCAAAGATCACAACATTGTATCAAAGATCACAACATTGTATCAAAGATCACAACATTGTATCAAAGGTCACAACATTGTATTAAAGATCACAACATTGTATCAAAGGTCACAACATTGTATCAAAGATCACAACATTGTATCAAGGATCACAACATTGTATCAAAGGTCACAACATTGTATCAAAGGTCAGAACATTGTATCAAAGGTCACAACATTGTATCAAAGATCACAACATTGTATCAAGGATCACAAAATTGTATCAAAGATCACAACATTGTATCAAGGATCACAACATTGTATCAAAGGTCACAACATTGTATCAAAGGTCAGAACATTGTATCAAAGGTCACAACATTGTATCAAAGGTCACAACATTGTATCAAGGATCACAACATTGTATCAAAGGTCACAACATTGTATCAAAGGTCAGAACATTGTAACAAAGGTCACAACATTGTATCAAAGATCACAACATTGTATCAAGGATCACAACATTGTATCAAAGATCACAACATTGTATCAAGGATCACAACATTGTATCAAAGGTCACAACATTGTATCAAAGGTCACAACATTGTATCAAAGGTCACAACATTGTGTCAATCTCATCTGCTAGAAAAAGGCCAGGATGGATAATGGGAACCTTCAAGACTAGGGATGCCAAGCCCATGATGACACTCTTCAGGTCACTTGTTCTATCTAAACTGGAATATTGCTGCACACTAACAGCAATTTTCAACGTAGGTGAAATTGCTGACCTAGAAAATGTACAAAGGACCTTCATGGCGCGCATAACTGCAATAAAATACCTCAATTACTGGGAATGCTTAAAGTCCCTCAACCTGTACTCCCTAGAATGCAGACAAGAGAGATACATGATTATATACACCTGAAAACCCTAGAGGGATTAGTACAAAACTTTCTTACGAAAATCACTCCCTATGAAACCAAAAGACTTTGCAGACGATGGAACATCCCCCAAATGAAAAACAGGGGCGCCACTGGTACGAATTGAGAAATCACAATAAGTGTCAGGGGCCCAAGACTGTTCAGTTGCTTCCCAGCATGCATAAGAGGAACTACCAGTAGACCCTTGACTGTCTTCAAGAAGGCACTGGATAAGCACCTAAAGTCAGTACCTGATCACCTAGGCTGTGCTTCGAATGTTGGGTTGCACCATGATGCCTGGTCACAGACCAGGCCATGGGGGCAGGACCCCCAAAGTACTCTCCAGTAACCAGGCCTGCATCACCATCATTACTGACACACATGTTTTACCACACCAGTAACCACAGCTGCATCACTGACACATATATAACAGCGACAATATGAAAATGACATAGCATCGAAAGTCAAGACTGACCCGAAGCTGTTGTACAGCCACATCAGAGGGAAAATAACAGTCAAGGACCAGGAAGGGTGATGGGGAGTTCACAAGAAACGACCGAGAGGTATGTCAGGGGCTCAACACGAGATTTAAAGAAGTATTTAAAGTGGAAACCAGTAGGACTCCAGGAAATCAGAACAGGGGGGTACACCAGCAAGTGCTGGATGAGGTACATATAACCAAGGAGAAGATGAAGAAGCTCCTATGCGAACTTGACACCTCAAAGGCGGTGGGACCAGACAACATCTCTCCGTGGGTCCTTAAAGAGGGATCGGAGATACTGTGTGTGCCATTAACAAAGATCTTCAACACATCATTTGAAACTGGGCAACTCCCTGAGGTATGGAAGATGGCAAATGTAGTCCCAATTTTTAAAAAGGGAGACAGACATGAGGCACTAAACTACAGACCTGTATCACTAACGTGTATAGTATGCAAGGTCATGGAGAAAGCTTAAGGGAAATTGGCCTGACGACACTGGAGGACAGGAAAGTTAGGGAAGACATGACAACGACATACAAAATACTGCGAGGAACTGACAAGGTGGACAAACACAGGATGTTCCAGAGATGGGACATAGAAAGAAGGGGTCATAATTGGAAGTTGAATACTCCGATGAATCAAAGGAATGTTAGGAAGTATTTCTTCAGTCACAGAGTTGTCACGAAGTGGAATAGCCTAGAAAGCGACATAGTGGAGGCAGGAACCATACATAGTTTTAAGAAAACGTTTGATAGTGCTCATGAAGCAGGGAGAGAGAGGACCTAGTAGCGATCAGTGAAGAGGCCGGGCCAGGAGCTATAAATTGACTCCTGCAACCACAAATAGGCAAGTACAAATAGGTGAGTACATGCATCACCACACCAGTAACCACAGCTGCATCTCTATCATTACTGACACACAGGGCTGGATTTATAAGGGGGCAACTGCCCATGGCCCCCCTGCCAGACGAACGACTTCTTTTATAACAAAATGTAATAAAAAAGTTAGTATAAATAATAAAAGGTATTAACAAATAAAGTGTGTAGGGGGACATCGGAAAACAGAAATAAAGGATGCCTCCACCCTCTCTCCCTTTGAATAACTTGACTAAATTATTTCTGGTTATCATCAGTTTAGATGTAAATGACCAAACCATGAGATCAGAGGCGACCAGAGTACGCATGCGTGTGTGTACTCACCTAATTGTGGTTACAGGAGTTGAGTCATAACTCCTGACCCCACCTCTTGTGTGTGTGTGCATGTGTGTCTGTGTGTGTGTGTGCATGTGTGTCTGTACTCACCTATTTGTACTCACCTATTTGTGGTTGCAGGGTCGATTCATAGCTCCTGGCCCCGCCTCTTCGCTGATTGCTACTAGGTCCTCTCTCTCCCTGCCCCATGAGCTTTATCATACCTCGCCTTAAAACTATGTATGGTTCCCGCCTCCACTACGTCATTTTCTAGGCTATTCCACGGCCTGACAACTCTATGATTGAAGAAATACTTCCTAAAATCCCTTTGATTCATCTGAGTCTTCAACTTCCAATTGTGACCCCTTGTTTCTGTGTTCCATCTCTGGAACATCCCGTCTTTGTCCACCTTGTCTATTCCGCGCAGTATTTAATATGTCGTTATCATGTCTCCCCTGACTCTCCTTTCCTCCAGTGTCGTCACGCCGATTTCCCTCAACCTTTCTTCGTAGGACAATCCCCGTAGCTCTGGGACTAGTCTTGTTGCAAACCTTTGCACTTTCTCTAATTTCTTGACGTGCTTGACTAGGTGTGGATTCCAAACTGGTGCTGCATACTCCAGTATGGGCCTGACGTAAATGGTATACAGAGTCTTGAACAAATCCTAATTGAGGTATCGGAACGCTATCTGTAGGTTTACCAGGCGCCCGTATGCTGCAGCAGTTATCTGATTGATGTGCGCCTCAGGAGATATGCTCGGTGTTATACTCACCCCCAGATCTTTTTCCTTGAGTGAGGTTTGCAGTCTTTGGCCATCTAAACTATGTTGTGTCTGCGGTCTTCTTTGCCCTTCCCCAATCTTCATGAGTTTGCATTTGGCAGGGTTAAATTCAAGGAGCCAGTTGCTGGACCAGGCTTGTAGCCTGTCCAGGTCTCTTTGTAGTCCTGCCTGATCCTCATCCGATTTGATTCTTCTCATTAACTTCACATCATCTGCAAACAAGGACACTTCTGAGTCTATCCCTTCCGGTATGTCGTTCACATATACCAAGAACAGCACAGGTCCCAGGACTGACCCCTGTGGAACCCCGCTTGTCACAGGCGCCCACTCTGACACCTCGTCACGTACCATGACTCGTTGTTGCCTCCCTGTCAGGTATTCTCTGATCCATTGTAGTCCCTTTCCTGTTATGTGTGCCTGATCCTCTAGCTTTTGCAGTAACCTCTTGTGAGGAACTGTGTCGAACGCCTTCTTGCAGT